AAGAGCGGCAACCTTTCGAATAAGCAGCCATGAGGCAAGGCACAACACCTACTTTGTCGATTTTTAATGGAGCTGTAGTCCTCCTCGAACACCTGACCCGTGCTGCTGGCGAATGCCTCGGCGCTGTCGAGGTACCCATGATGGACGAGATACGTACACACCATTCTGTCGAATTTGTACAGAGTACTTCGTTACTCTCGAAAGATATTATGAAAATTGGTCCGTTGGCGATTTTTTTCTCGCTAACTGCCTCGATTTACCCGCGCAAGCGTTTTTGAGAGAAACTCCCGCAAATCAAGGAGGGTCTTAACGGACAACAATGACAAACGAAGGAGGAGGAAAAATAACCACGAAGGAAGAAAAATAGTAGAAAATCACGCACCCGGTCCCCGTCTCGCTTTCTGGTTGGATATGTACCTGTGAAGGATTGCCTGCCACTGGCCCTGGCCATGGTCTGGCGTGGGATAGTTTATGATCTGTAATCTCGTTCGTACACGCAGTTCGTTGATCATGTCCCCGATGTCGAAGACAAACGGCAACTGTCCAAAGTTGGCATCCACCACTTCACCTGGAGTCTGTAGACCGACCGTTGGAAAGAGATTGGTCTGCGAAAGCGAATTGCATTTAAGTAAGACATTCAACATTTAGGATAAAGTTTAAGTCTATCGTATTCAATTTACAAATTTAATCATGATTTCTGAATAATAAATTTCATAATTTTATCAATAGATTAGGAAAAAAATTAAAACTTGTAAAAATTTAAAGTAAAAGATCAATTTTTCTCCAAATATGAAAAACACAAAAAAAGGAAATTGATTTATTATACATTACTGAGATTAATAAGATGTGAAGAATATATATGCGAAAGAGAGATTACATTTGTTCGAATATATTTCAGATTTTCATTAATATCGCTTCTCCTTGTCTTTTACGCATGTCCAACCTTTTTAAAATGTAATATGATCTGTTTCAGCGTTTGTATTAATTGACGTAACGAATAACTTACGGGAAGATCCGTGAAGGCAATGCCCAAATGATGACCATTTTTCGTGTAGAAGGCGGTGTTGTCAACGAGATTAACGCCGCAGCCGATCACGTCACCGGTGGTGAAGGTCGGCCCGTAAGGTTGCCCGGTGCCGCTTGAGCAGAAACTGTGACCGTCGTCACCGTGATAACCGTATGAGTGCTTGTCCCAGCCTGGTAATCTATTTACATTGACGTCGCGCGCCGAGAGGCCAATGCCCATGTAACCATCGCGTCCTTTGCTCACGATCTTCACCTCGAAGTAATACAAGCCGCAGGCGGCCGGTATTGCGTGCGTTGTGCGAACGCTGGCAGCGTCTTTGTGAGTTTTGCCGTAACCTGGGGAAAGAACGCGGCCCCGACTCACTTTATAGGAATCGGTGAATCCGACAACTAGGTAATCCGGATATGTACAAAGATTACGAGTTGCAAATAAAAGCGTATATTAATAATGGAAAGACAGACGCATTTTCGTAGATTAAACGTATCTGTCACTTGAGATTCAAGCCATGGTCATCGTGCGGTTTGGAGATGCAAGGACGAATGCTATGCGTTCAGATATGTATATCTTCTCTGCCTACACATCCGATTGTTTTTCTACTGGACTGCAGGATAAACGCATGGATATCAGAATGCGTGCGGAAACACGGAAACGATTTATCACGGATAGTTACGTTATTGAAGATATATTGTATAACTTATTTCTGTATCATGTTTCTTCTTGCATTAATCAATTCTCGCTATCGTACATGTAAAAGTACACAGTCAGTTGAAATTACCCAAAAATGAGAATAGAAATATTTATTTAATATATGTTTAATAATTGAAATATATATTTCGTATTTTATCAATTTCATGATACTATCTATAGAAATACCAGGAGAATGAAAATCTTCGAAAAGAAAATTTCTCTATTTTATTTATTATTTCACTCGCTGTGAAGCAAGTTTGGCGAAGCAAGTTTGGCCAAGCAAGGGTAGCTAGTCTTCATGTCAAGATAGAGCTAAGCGAGAACATATGGTTCCCTTCTCGAGATACATTATGCGCCTTGGACACGATGAGAAATATTGATTTCGAGTAAGTCGCATAGTACTACGCGGAAGAATGCGCGATCTAGAGACGTCCAGGTTATTGTAAACAAGTGAAATGCGACCAAGTGCTTTCACGCCGTCGTAACTTGAAACCCGAGCGATGTATTTTTGGTGCATAACATCGCAACACGCGGTGGCGATGAAGAATGCGCGCTTTAGGAAGCGACTTTCGCGCGCGCGTTAAGAAATTTTAATGTAAAATGATTTTTTTCAGTGTCCACCTTATATAAGAAAATATCATGCAATCGTGCACAAAAACTCTCTCGCATAAACACATATTTTTTTAGCAGAATTTAACGTTCGATTTTCCATAATGTTGTTTACTTATCGTGACTTTCCGATACTCAATTTTAAATGTTTCGATACGTGTACTCCGAACGAAATGTTTGAAAAAATAAGCTTCATATTGCTATGAAAAAAATAATTAATATACCTATTATGTGAAGCTAAAGAACAAATTGATCCGCGGAAATACACGATTTAGCAGAGCAGATGTAAGTAGGGCATTAGGTCAACGCGCGGCACATCGATGTAATGTTACAAGCTTTATCTGCCGATCTATGATCTACGGGTTTGTATATTATGCGCATGTCCCGCCCTTGCATAATGTAATATACCGTACCTATCTCCATCGGGCATCAATTATATAGCTTTCGGATATACCGCTTTTATTAGGTCGTTATGAGATTTATATTCGTGTTTGTGCAAACATCGCTGCACAGAGTACGGTGAAACCGTTATAAATGATTGTGCCTTTGATGTAATATATTTAGGTGATGTAATTATTAGCACGCGGCGATATCCGGTTTATTCCAAAATAGCTAGAGAGAAAATCGGGTATTTGAGTATGTCGGGATCTTTTCCGTAAAAAGCTCTGATAAAATAAACAAATAATCGGCAGCTCATAAATTTCAGAGATTTGCAAGAAGATACGTAAAAGATACGAGGAAGATTAAGATATGCGTGTTTTTAAGAGAATCGAATGTATAATGTAAGCGCAAGGAAAATATGTGAAGAACAGTTAAGGGCTAACGGTAGATGCACGGGTGGGCGACCTTCCATTTTCTTAGACACTCCCAACTTAATCCAAGGAATATCATGTGCATCCAAGCCGTGTTCCGTAAACATCACATGCATTCGCGATCCAAGACAGGGCTTCTAGTTGATTTCTTACACCGGATTCCGCCGCGTTTACTCGAAATCGTTATCGTGGACCTGCGCGTAAACGGGAGAGGCCCGGATTTGTCGAGTCTTCGAGAGGCTCGCAATCAACGATTGCATGAGTCGCCAATTTAATCGGAAACGCAAAAAGAGCAGCCGTGGTTCTAAATTTATTCCATCTTTTACAGGATGTTTCAGAAATATGGCTTGTTTAATTAATATTTTTAGATTTTGCATCTTTTTGAGATTTCTTTTCTTATAAAAAGAAATAATCAAAGTACCGGTAATTTGTAAATTACGGAGTTCGATGAATGAGAAAAGAAACAACAAATCATAATAAATAAATATTTGTAATAAAGCATAAATATCTAAAAATTTATATATATATACATATTATAAATATAATAAGTATATAAGAGAGAATATAAAGTAAATAAAATATTTTAATTCTTTAATTATAAGTAGAATTATAAATAGAAATTATAAGTAGAATTTAATAGGATTCTGTAGAATTTTATTATAGTAGAATTTAATAGGATTCTGAAGATTAAAACTACTGAAATATTTACGTGCAGATTAGAACGATCCGAAACGAATGCTGCATAGACTTCATAGAAGAGACAACGATCGAAGTTAAATTAAAGAGGATTCGCCAGCAACGGATATTATTGATGCGCAGCATAGCTAAAGTCGAGTATACGCGTGCATTATGTTTCATCGTATCTACCACGTATCACGATATTTTATTTCATGCTTTCCATTTATATAGTTGCGACTTTAATAGCCATCGCAATTAATTATGATATTCTAGGAATATTTATCATACGCATCGAGAGATAGAATATTCGTATTCTAATAGAGCATTATATATAATTTGTATAAAAAATATATATATATATATGTATATATATATTTTTTTTTCTAGTTATATAATGTATATATATGTATGCACACAATAGATGCGGTCCTCTCTTATTCTGCGATTACCACGCTATAACATTTAACACTACAACGTTGTATAAGTATTCGTATACTTATTATATAACAAAAATCCATGCACGTTATATTTTATATATTATATTTCAGTATTATTCTCATACATTGTAATAGCCCTTAAAAAAAAAATTATCTTTGGCATTATTTTTTCTCGCAATAATAATAATAAATAAACAAACGCAATGATTTTTATTTGCGTCTTTTATTCTGCTTTCTCTCGACACAATCTTTGTGTCTCGTCATGGATCGGAAAAACAATATTTTTCTTCGCTACGCAAGATACATCACGTTCGTCGAGCGTGAACGCTCGTCCGAAGCAGATATATAACGCACATTTATGTTTAAAATACGTTGTATGTTTCTCATTTCATGCATACATGCAGTAAAGGAACAGATAAATGCTCGCGGTATCGTCAATACCGCAGTGGCGAGTTGTCATTGTCGTCATTATGCAACCCGGATCTTACAGAAGGTCCGGGATATATTCTGTATCACATAACGAGCCCTGAGGGTGGAAAGAGGAGAAAAGAAAGGACCGCTATTTTCTGGCATTGTTCACTGACGATACAAGGAAATCTGTTATAACAAAAACAACGGAAAGAATCTATATTGTTAAAGCGGAACTTTTATAAGATTTAAATGTACAGGGTGCCTTCCAAGAATATATATATGTGTGTGTGTGTGTGTGTGTGTGTGTGTGTGTGTGTGTGTGTGTGTGTGTGTGTGTGTGTGTGTGTGTGTGTGTGTGTGTGTGTGTGTGTGTGTGTGTGTGTGTGTGTGTGTGTGTGTGTGTGTGTGTGTGTGTGTGTGTGTGTGTGTGTGTGTGTGTGTGTGTGTGTGTGTGTGTGTGTGTGTGTGTGTGTGTGTGTGTGTGTGTGTGTGTGTGTGTGTGTGTGTGTGTGTGTGTGTGTGTGTGTGTGTGTGTGTGTGTGTGTGTGTGTGTGTGTGTGTGTGTGTGTGTGTGTGTGTGTGTGTGTGTGTGTGTGTGTGTGTGTGTGTGTGTGTGTGTGTGTGTGTGTGTGTGTGTGTGTGTGTGTGTGTGTGTGTGTGTGTGTGTGTGTGTGTGTGTGTGTGTGTGTGTGTGTGTGTGTGTGTGTGTGTGTGTGTGTGTGTGTGTGTGTGTGATTCTTTATATATCAATTTTTCAAGACAAGTTCCTGGACGGATTTACAGCATATGTTTTTGGCAACAGTAATTAAAATGGAAAGAACGACTTTCTATTTTCCATCATCAAATATTTCAACAATGAAATCTGTCCGATACTCCTCTCCCCCGCCTCTTCCAATAGATTCCATCTTAATGAAATCTATTATTTTAACTGCTCTTTGTTTATTTATCTATCTTACTCAAATTGAAAATCCAATTAATTTTTAAATTCGTTAACCATTGCTCTATCGATATTTTCAAAAAATAATTTACTTCGAAAACGCGCCAGCTTATTGAAGCTAGTGAAAGTGAGACACCCTGTATAGCAGTGAACTAACATTTATGAAATTCGAAACGCCGAAAATTCCACTTCGAACGAATAACTCGAACACGAGAGTCGACTTGACGCGCGAGGTCGAGTCCACATATCAGTCCATGTTCATACGACGCAGCTGTCATTGACATTGTGCGTGTCGTGTGTGTGTATATATATATATACATGTACGTGTGTCTCTCTCTCTCTCTCTCTCCTTTTCATCCTCCTGACTCTCTCCTTCTCTATCTCACTGTATATACTCTGTCTTTCATTCGAACTCTCTCTCTCTCTCTCTCGTTTTTTTCCCTACCAACCCATCAACGGGAATCGAGAAGCATCCCGAGAAGTCGTAGGATTTACAAAGATCAACCTCGGGAAACGGACGCGACGTCGAACGTTGTCGGTACGAAATTCGACGTCGCCGACGATGACACCCGTGTAGAGAGTAATAGCCCGACCGTGCCGGGGGACTGACTGACTGATCAGCTGATTCCTTTGTTTAGGTCGCTGACACACGCGAAAAAGTGCCCTGCCATTTTCAATCGATACTCCGTCCCTGCCCCGGGAGCAGCCCCGATCGCTGCCGCGGATACGATGCCCGGTACACCGGGGCCCCCGTTGACAGGTCGCGACCGATCGCGTAAAATCACGCAGAAGATGTACACGCATCGCGGGGGGGACACGCATCGCCTCGCGCGGAGAGGTCGCGCGCGCGTACACGGGCTATCCACGTACCTTTGTAGTGAACGCGGAGATTATTTTGCGACAGGCCTATGTAGTTGTACTTGTCTCTCGTGCTCCAGGAACGCGGCAGCGGTGTTTCCTCTTCGTTCACCATCGGATAGAGCAGCTTTAGCCGATCCACGGGCTCGCTCTGCCCCGAATTCCTTCGCCCAGGTTCCATAACACTCCGTTCATCGCTGGTGGCGGCCATCATTATCATCCGCTGCCCCACTCTCGCTCTATCTACGGCCTGCCTATGTGCGATCCTGGATTGCGAATGCCGTCGCGCACGTCGTACGCGCAACTCGCATTCTCATGACGACACGCGAGAACTTAAACGACGATAAGATCGAGACGCGCGTGTCATATGCTCGCGCGATGCCTGTCTCCCCCTCTCTACTCGTCAATTTTCTTTTTAAGTCCACTTCGCATGATCCGCGCTATTAAATGACCAATCACGTCAAGAGCGCCATATTGTTGCGTCCTTTAGGCCGGGTCTACAATAGATGTAGGGTGTTTTCCAGCAAGGTATGTACACAGATGACACAGTGTCAAGCCCGTATCAGACTACGCATTGAAGATTGAGATTGAAGATCGAAGATTGAAATTTGACCAATCAGGACAAAGAAATTTTAGTCCCTTTTGTTCTGATTAGTCAAATTTCAATCTTTAATCTTCAATCTTCAATTATCAATGCGTAGTCTGATACGGGCTTAACACACAATGGTCGCGTTCAGCAGAGAAAACCGCTTAGTAGCAATCGAATGTGATTGGTTCTTACTTTTAGAACCAACGAATCAACGTCGAGTGTTGACAAGACGATAACTAAGGCCCAGTTTCACAACTTACTTTAACCGAAGTTTAACTCGTTAATGGAAAATTCACATTACGTCTGATGTCCGATGTATCCAATCGGACGTCATACATTGTACATCAAATGCAATGTGAATCCTCCATTAACGAGTTAAACTCCGGTTAAAGTAAGTTGTGGAATTGGGCCTAAGAGCTTTCTCTGCTGAACGCGGCCAATCTTAGCTTATACAGATACATTTTTCACTTTAACTATATGCAAACACATTAAGTGGAATCGGCAATATTATCATCAATGAAAATGGATTTAATCTCAATAGATACGAATTCCTTCGCCCAGGTTCCATAACACTCCGTTCATCGCTGGTGGCGGCCATCATTATCATCCGCTGCCCCACTCTCGCTCTATCTACGGCCTGCCTATGTGCGATCCTGGATTGCGAATGCCGTCGCGCACGTCGTACGCGCAACTCGCATTCTCATGACGACACGCGAGAACTTAAACGACGATAAGATCGAGACGCGCGTGTCATATGCTCGCGCGATGCCTGTCTCCCCCTCTCTACTCGTCAATTTTCTTTTTAAGTCCACTTCGCATGATCCGCGCTATTAGATGACCAATCACGTCAAGAGCGCCATATTGTTGCGTCCTTTAGGCCGGGTCTACAATAGATGTAGGGTGTTTTCCAGCAAGGTATGTACACAGATGACACGGTGTAACACACAATACCACATGATTGGCTGTCAAATGAAGAAATTTAAAATTTTGTATTTGATAGCCAATCGTGTGATACTGTGTCTTACATTGTGTCATCTGTGTACCTTGCTGGAAAACACCCATTGTAAGCCTTTAGGCCGAATCTACAATAGATGCAATAAGCCTTAAGCCCGTATCAGACTACGCATTGAAGATTGAGATTGAAGATCGAAGATTGAAATTTGACCAATCAGGACAAAGAAATTTTAGTCCCTTTTGTTCTGATTAGTCAAATTTCAATCTTTAATCTTCAATCTTCAATTATCAATGCGTAGTCTGATACGGGCTTAACACACAATGGTCGCGTTCAGCAGAGAAAACCGCTTAGTAGCAATCGAATGTGATTGGTTCTTACTTTTAGAACCAACGAATCAACGTCGAGTGTTGACAAGACGATAACTAAGGCCCAGTTCCACAACTTACTTTAACCGAAGTTTAACTCGTTAATGGAAAATTCACATTACGTCTGATGTCCGATGTATCCAATCGGACGTCATACATTGTACATCAAATGCAATGTGAATCCTCCATTAACGAGTTAAACTCCGGTTAAAGTAAGTTGTGGAATTGGGCCTAAGAGCTTTCTCTGCTGAACGCGGCCAATGCCACATGATTGGCTGTCAAATGAAGAAATTTAAAATTTTGTATTTGATAGCCAATCGTGTGATACTGTGTCTTACATTGTGTCATCTGTGTACCTTGCTGGAAAACACCCATTGTAAGCCTTTAGGCCGAATCTACAATAGATGCAATAAGCCTTAGTCCTAAAAAAATTACCAATAACAATTGATTATTCTTCTCACATTTGACTGTGATTGATAAATTTTCTATGGCTTGAGGCCATAGATATATTATATATGTATAGATGGAGCTTTATCTATCTTACTGTCTGCCAAGATAATAATAGCGTTTTCGAATGAACGGGCAATAGTTTATACAACTCCAGAGCGATGTTGGAATCTCGCTCAATGATGCAGTGCCACGGAGAGATGACATGCCCAGCAAAATATCAAATAACTTTTTGAGGCACTAAACAAATTGCATGTCTAAATTTCTCATTTTTATATGCATTTTTTCATTTAATATATTAATTGATTTTACAAAAACTACGCACGTGCTTCTTGGCATATATCTTTCTCTCTTTTATTATGGAGATTAATCAAGAATTATAATTACATGAAAATAAAATTACAAAAAAGATATAAATTACAAGAAAATATAATTACATGAAAATTACATAAAATTAAAAAAATTATGTGAATAAATTTTTCGATACTTAGGGCCAATTTCACCAAGCTCGGTTAGATTAACCGACGGTTAAAATTAGCAGGGTTCCAACTGAAATGATAAGAATAAGGAAAACCAAGCATTCTTATCATTTCATCCACCACAGTTTATCTAAAATAATTATCTCAATGTATAAGGGCCAATTTCACCAAGCTCGGTTAGATTAACCGACGGTTAAAATTAGCAGGGTTCCAACTGAAATGATAAGAATGCTTGGTTTTCCTTCACCTTTATTTTCTGTTGGCCACCCTGCTAATTTTAACCGTCGGTTAATCTAACCGAGCTTGGTGAAATTGGCCCTTATACATTGAGATAATTATTTTAGATAAACTGTGGTGGAAATAAAGATAAGATTAAATTTCGGTGTATATTTAAAATTATCGCATTTGATTCTCTCTTTATTAATGTTTATCCTTAATTAATATCTGTAATTAATAGTATACAGTTTATAACTGTAATTGATAGGAAATCGTTTGTGATTTACAAATATACCAATGTTACGTTTGTGAATTGATAAATTTTTTAATTAAGTGCAAAATAAGTTTATTCTATAAATATAGTGCGCATGCGCAAAGTATATTCAGGGCTCTTGTCATAGTTTTATTACATATAGGTATGAGTCTGCTGAACGCGCTTATTATCACGAATATATCACGATTGGTCACAAATTTTTAAACAGCTGTTTACGTCAGAAAGCGCAGTGCAATATATATCCGGAATCATCTGGAACCATCCAAGATAAACTTTATTTTCCAAGACTTTCTATACATCACGTCAAAAATTATTGTTCTCTGAAAGTAGTAGTGCCTCTCTAATTAATATGTTTGAAAGAAAATTGAAGGCCCTCGGTTATATGGAATGGGATAAAGTTAATGGAAATAGTAAGTGATTTTTCACACGTCATAACCTGTGATACTTTAAATTTTGTGCTATATAACTCTTCAAGTAAGAAGCAGTAAAAAAGCAAAAAAAGAGGAAAAACACTTCGAATTTTATGCGCACATGTTAATTTATCATTAATCATAAAATACTCTAAAAACTCAATGTTTGCTTCACAAATTATATGTGTTGCATCATTTGTTTTTTGACTCCAAATATCTCGTTTCATAATTCGTTTTGCATTTTTAACTGGATGAGTGAATATTGAGATATTGTTAAGAATATTTCAATTATTATAATTATTATAATCATTACAAAAAAAAATATACAAAAATTATATTTGACTCTCTGTAAGTAATTTATAGATGAAATGGACAGTATTTTCTATAAAAATATAACATGATAAAAATATCATTATTAATATATATTCAAATATTTTAGATACTCAGCACGTTAGAAAAGTAATTGTATGGCTGGAAGATCAAAAGATACGTCATTATACAATAGAGGACCGTAAACAATTAAGGAACATTACATCCCCAGAATGGCCCAATATTTTTGAGAAATATTGCAATGATATCAAGTGTCCGATAACCACAAATGAGGCTGACAAATTAGAATGGTTCATAGGATACGCTATTTGGCTTGAATTTGGAGATGACTGTAAGTATTTGAAATATATAATATGAAAAATTGAAACTTTCTATCTTCCATATTTACACAACATGTAAATACATGTAAATATATATATATACATATATGTATATATATAAAAGAATTTAATGAATCTAATTATCAATCTTAATTTATCAATCTATTATATATGATTGATAAACACATTGATAGAAAGTATATGATTTGTTTTTATTATAGGTCCAAAATATCAACAGGTCATAGGAAGTAAAGCAAAGGCTAAGGAAGAAGTAAAGATACCTAATATCAAATCCACAAATCCTCTAGATAATTTAGATTGTATGTAAATCACAGAGTTTGCAATATCTTATGTAATAACATATCATATATGGGAAAAGATATTCTTTAAATCTTGCTTTTCTTTAATTTTCAGTTGATAGTGATGCTTTCAAGACTGGAGTTACTTCAATAGCAAATTTATTAAAAGTACCAAAGCATTCTGATCATCTTATAACACTACAAGCATGTAGCAAACTTGTATGTAATAAATTGAATGCAGATGCAATTAAGCAACCAAATAATGCCGTAACTGTCAAGGGTAAATCCCTGACAGCAATGACTATAGTGCCCAGCTTCAATATGGGCGACATAATGCTGGATAATGCTGCTAAAGGCCTTTCTTTGCTGTACATACAGGATCTCAGGAATCTTCAGACAAAGATTAATGAAACGATAGTTGCTGTACAAAATATTACAGCTGATCCAAAAACAGACACCAAATTAGGAAAAGTCGGTAAATGAATGGCTATTCGTGTATGTTATATTCTAGAATAATACATGTTTAATACGTTAAACGAAGAATATGGAGTATATCAAATTAGGAAAATATTTATCATTACATATACGTCACGAAACAATTTTAGAAATAACATGAAACTACATACACTAAATGTACTATTAAAACGAGATATTTATCAAAATAAGATGAGATAAAAGTTAATTTATTTTTACTTTGTTAGTTTGTGCCAAATATGGTAGTACATCGATTTTGTAAAGAAATGTAACATATAACGATCGTTTCTCATTTTTACAGAATCGATATTTCATACATATTATAAATAAGCATATTATAACAAAATACTCAGCTCTTATACAAATAAAAATTATCTCATTAACTTATATACAGGCAAGTAGACTGAAGATTTTAAAAATTAAGTTGTTACATCACATCATAATACATAAGTACCAAACAGTAAATATTCGTAAATCTAATCCTATTCATTTATTTAAAAATCGGTGGAGAAAATTGTGTTAAAGCTTATAATATAAAAATTATTTTACTCTCTACATCATTATACCAGTGTTCAACTATCTATACTTATTAGATGAAAATATTCTTTGAAAGAATAAAATATAAATTTATTTCATGTACAACATATATATTGAATGCAAGCTACTTAGGGTAATTAGCTAAAAATAAATTTAGTTTTTTGTAATGTTTCTATTACTTTCTTCAAATTGATTTAAATTAATACATATGTCTAGATTTATTATAGCTAGATGGTAACGAAAATCCTGAGAATATCGAAGCAAGAGAAAAATTACTGCCTCTTATCACTTTACTCTAATAAGATCTATTATATATGTATGAATATTTTTTAATATAATGCATATCTTAATTTGAAAAAATTTGTTGCAAAAGTTATCGCATTGATAGCATTTTTAGAAATTTTATATAACAAATTTAATAAAATCTGATAAAAAATAAAAAGATTACGAATTTTGTACATTAATATCAATAAATGAGCTTTTATAAATGTCTATACATATGCTTGTCTATATATTTCTGACATTACTTGTTTGCCATCTTCTTGCTTTTATTATCCATTTTATATTTGTGTTATCATATCAGAGAATCCATTAAATATAAATTACTATAATATATATATATATAAGAAGATATGTGTATATATATGAATGTATATAGTAAACTATCTCTCCTTATATATTTTGAATTTTTTAAAAGATTTATCAGAAATACTGAAGGAAGCAATTTGTATGTTAAAATACTTTTTACAAAGATGTTAATATGTTATAAAATAAACAAAATTATACTAAGGAAATAATCTATATTTCTCCCTAAAAAATAATAAAGATTTCGAAACAAAAGATAATAAACATGTCTTTTTTTTTTTACTTTTCAATATCTCTGATACATCATAGGTGAGTACAATATAACAATATAACAAACTTTGAAATGGTAAAAAATCGTATTTCTATTTACATATATATATATGAGAGTATGTATGTATATATGTAGTTAGTAGATGTGTGTATATATATATATATATACATACATATTTTCAAATATTATACTATTTTCGAGTTTTGTAAATATTAAAAGCGCATATAATTCGTCGATAAATATAAATATTTAGTAGTGACAAAAAACATGTATGTGGTATATGACCGTGTTAATTGTCAATGCATTTATATGTATCATAAGATATTTGTTGATATATTTGTGTTTATTGTAATTATTTTAAAACTCATACCACATCATATATATAATTCATATCATTTATTTAAAAAGAAAGTGCTTATTATATATACTTTTAACAGAATTAAACCCCAAAAAAACTGAGTTGTGTATATATTGTAAAATTATGTATATTTATAAAAATATGATAATTAAGTTATCACAGAATTTATGAATATCAGTTTTCTCAATATCAATGCAATATCTTGAATACAAAGCTTATATACCCATGTTTATCCTTTTTTTTTGTAGCAGTATATTGTGAAGAATTTTTATAAGCCTGTGAGATTATGATATGTCAAAACGTAATTTTTATATCAAGACTTTGCTGAAGTTGTAACACATGCGAACACTTTTAAATATCATACATTTACACGATTTCCTTCTGCCATCACAGTTTTTGATATTGCATTAAGAAATCAATGTGTATTTTTTATATCGTTTGTTAAAATAGTAATAAGAAGCACCTTGTACAATGTCAACGATGATAATAATTATGTATATTTTCACATACACAATAATTAAATTGACGATAATTGACGATTTCATTTGAGGACAATATTATAAATCTATTAAATCTGAGTATACATTTTTGTATTAGTGAAAATCTATACAATAGCTACTGTTTGGAAATAATTTTTAAAGCAAATGGATTACAAATGTTAATATGTGTGAATTTAAAAATTATTTCTATGCATATTTTTATTATTAAAATGAACAGAGATTTCTTATGAGCGCATATTCTAATGTGGATTATGCTTCATCTACTAAGGCACTCTAGATTGAAGCTTTATTATAGTTCGGCAGAGTATATTTTCTGGCTACAAGCCAAAAAATTTATAATTTTAATTAAATGTAATGATTCACATTTATGATTTATGGAATGATATATTAAATTATGAATATGTACCCCCGCAACTTAAAATTTTATATAATAATACCTATAGACAAATATTTTAATTGATGTATCATGTTGTGTATATAGTTCAAATATTTCAAAATACAATATATATATATTACATATATACTAATATCTCATCACTTGATTTTTTTTTAAATCTTAGCTTTACAAAATTTCGTATTTTACTAGGAGAAGTCTCACAAAATTCTGTGGTACAATGTGCTTAACTAGGTGAGCAATTTTATAAATATATTGTAAATATATTGTTGTGTTCTATATACACTACATAATAACAGCATGTAGGTGTAACAAAGTCGTTACTTCTACAATGATATATAATAGCTCAAAAATGAATACTATATGATATATAATAGTTCAGAAAGGAATAAAATCAAGAAAATTTAGAACTTTTGTTGTATGTGTACGTTGGGTAAAAATAAATTATATATATTTTTATACAAATAAACAATATTTCAGAAAACGAATATTTTTTTCTATAATAATATAATGTACAAACTGTTACGAAAGTCTACACCTATCTCTGTTTCCAGAAGGCACTGGTTGTAATACTCTTCTGCTTCTTTCTTCGTCCTCTAAGGAAGCTTGGAGAGCTCTGGCTAGTGCTTCATCCTCGCTTATTGTTCCTTGAAGACTTCGAAACGAATGTGAATTGCTGTTGCTGCTATTCTGCGATATTGTCGTTTGAGCTTTTTTGTTTAGTGCTTCCAGCCTACGTAGTCTCAAAGCTTCTTCCGCTCCAATGCAAGCATGATCTGTAGGGTGCCTGTGCTTTAAACAAAAATTGGCACCGCATTCGCTGCACTTTACTGGTACCATTTCTTTGACCTTGCATCCCTTCGAAGAACACTTATTGGAGAATATTTTTCTACGATTTTCTCTACAGTCATTATCTATGTGCAATCCTACAGCCAAATCAGGTGGATCACCACGTTTTATCGGTATAGGAACATTGCACAATGGACATACAGGCACCTGTACATCCTTTTTGTATGCACTGGGGCAGCTGTGATTTGCATATGATACATGATCTGTGCAAAAGATCTCCGCACAGGCATCACACTTTAATGGTAAGAAATCCAAACGATTACATGTACTCTCAGAACAATGCTCTCCCAAATTTGGAAACTCCATTTTGATTGTGTTATAATCTTATGAGAAGCTATTGAGAATTTTATGAGATTTCTGCAAAAATAATTTTAATAAAATTAGAATAATTCTCATTTTATAGTAAGTCACATGCGTATCCTCTAACAATAAGCGATTTAAATTGCCGATTTTATCCATGGCAATAGCAATTTCTATTCTAATAATGAGAGAAATCAACAATTGCTTAAACAAGCTTTTCCTTATCAGTAATAAACTTGAATATTTTACTAAGACTCATTATCGTTTTAAAATAATTGCCCACATTATTTAATAAAATTAGTTTTGTCACAAGTCTCACTTTTATAAATATCGGTCAAAGTAATTTCTTGAGAGAGCATTATAAACGTAATTATAGAAAACGCGAAGAGAAATGATGCAATTATCGTAATTAATTTTGCGATAACGTACCTTGACTCAGCCAAAATGAAAAACTACGAGGACAGATGCCGCGCAACTTTCCTTTTCCCTCTTACACTCAATGTAATATAGATCTTTAAGGGCGTTCGTGAAAGAACGTCGCAGATTTTACAACTGGACGTTACTAGAAATTGCGAGTAATTTCGTCGGACTTTCCGCGATATCAGAAGATTTAACCACGACGTCGAGCAATTTCACATTGATCATACATATATCAGCATATGTCATGCACTAATAAGACAGACACGTGTATCCCCTTTATATATTCTCGCGCAGCGATAGAAACCGATGATCAACGATGATTGACGATTTTCGAACCTACATTGTACACTCTCGGAGGAAAGTGTATCTCAAGAATATTATCGAAATAGAAATATACGATATAAGATATCGATCATGATGCAATATCGCAAAACCATGACAATCGAACAGATTAAAATTACCCGCCAAATTCAAACGTGTTATGTCGCACCAAATATTAAGAATGTCAGAAGAAAATGACGTATGATAAATTATATTAATATTAATACAAAAATAATAACAAATTAAAAATGTCATAGCCGCAAATGTTAAATCACATAGGTCTATCAGACCCAAAGTAGGTTTTTTAAAATAATAGAATAGTAAAGTATATATATTATATGATAGAGGCAAAATATATATTTATATATACACAATGA